CGACTGGTCGAGGTCCAAATTGCCCCCCCCCTTCCTACCCAGCATCACAAGGGCTCCTTGAACCATCAGACAAAGAGGGCAGACATCACGGTAGCCTGGCCTCGAATCGTTGCCTATTGTCAGAGCGCTCGAAATCCTGTCTCGGCCTCCCCCCCTCCTTGACCTCCAGCCTGTCCTCTTGGGAACCCGCCGAGATACCAACCTCCGATCCGACTACGTCGCCGCATCATTCATCATCTCGGGCCTGGTCCATTTAAACCAGTCTACATCGCATTGTAGACTTGCGCTTACGCTCTTTTCTCTCCAACAGATCCCTATCCATCCTTGCCTCGTCACATTCAGCCGTCGCCGATGCACACATCTCCAACATGGGTCTCGCGTTTTCTAAGATCTTCGACAAGCTCTGGGGGAAGAAGGAGATGAGAATTCTGATGGTCGGACTCGACGCCGCCGGAAAGACCACCATCCTCTACAAGCTTAAGCTCGGCGAGATTGTCACGACTATCCCCACCATTGGTACGACTGCCTTATTTTTTCCCCCCTGACCCCAATGCCGCCATTTTACCCCTCACTCTATTCATCATGATATGATGGTGGCGGGCGGCGGCGGGGGATCGAGGGACCCTGAATCGCCATTCCCATAGTACCTGGAGCGCCCGTGCTGACCCCCACTCCCAGGATTCAACGTCGAGACTGTCGAGTACAAGAACATTCAGTTCACCGTGTGGGATGTCGGTGGTCAGGACAAGATCCGTCCTCTGTGGAGGCACTACTTCCAGAACACCCAGGGCATCATCTTCGTCGTCGACTCCAACGATCGCGACCGTATCGTCGAGGCCCGCGAGGAGCTACAGCGCATGCTGAACGAGGATGAGCTCCGTGACGCCATCCTTCTGGTCTTTGCCAACAAGCAGGATCTTCCTGTACGTCACCTTGCCGCATCGACCACCTGGTCGACGCAGTCGACGCAGTGGTCAGCCGTCACTTGCCGCCGCGCACCAATGCTGATCCCTCTTTTCACAGAACGCCATGAACGCTGCCGAGATCACAGACAAGCTCGGCCTTCACAGCCTGAGACAACGCGCCTGGGTACGTTGCTTTTCCCTCTTTTCATCACCGCCCCTAATTCCACACACATGCTGACCGCCCTCGCCTCCAACAGTACATCCAGTCTACCTGCGCCACGTCTGGAGATGGTCTCTACGAGGGTCTCGAGTGGCTCGCCACCACCCTGCGGAAGGCTGGCCACCAGTAGATTATCTACCCTTACCATCCCACGCAGTCAAGAAAAAGAGCCGCATGAAAGCCTCCAGCACGCTCGCCCCTCGGCCCATGAAAACAACCCCCTCCACCTCTCTCCGTGGCTCCGGATGTTCTTTGTTTGCAAAGTTATCGGTCACAACGCAGTCGAATAGTCCATAAACCATCGATCGCATTCCTTCCTCTAAGGCTGTTTCGCTTCCGTTCGGTTCTTTCGTGGCGGTTACGCGACCTTGCCCTCTCTCTCTGTCTCTCTGTTCCGTAAGCTGGTTGATGCCAGTTAATGCCCTCCCATCCCCCCCTTTTCCCCTCGCCAGGTCGACAGCCTCAGAGGAAGAGGGTGGGCGGGCCACTCGTCATTTTCTCCGCTTCTGAAAACGAAAAAACATCAAAAGGTCGCACAGCTCGCGCACGCTCACGCTCGCACTCGCATTTCTGGGTCTCGATCTGGACGATTGGGAGGGGGGAGGCGTTTCTTTCAGGGCGGGGATTTTCTGTACTGTCTTGTTCAGGCGTCCGTCCCAGAAACTGTTGCTTTTTACATTCACTGCCTCGTGTGTGCTCTGCTCGCGTCGTGGCCGTTTTTGAAGTGCATGCCGTGAATACCATGATGTGGACTAGACCGGAGCCGGGTGCCTTGCGTCTCGAGTGATGATGTGTCGTATACGTCTGTCGAGTTCAGTACACGGCTTGTAGGCGACCGGGTCGTTGCCAAGGAACCCAAACAGACACAGAAACGCAGGTCTACCCGTCAGGTGAGAGGCTAGATACGATGGCAAGAAGGCCGCTGTGTCAATGGCTAGGCATCCTCGTGGTCACGACAAGACAAATTAGACATGCCCGCAGATGTGGTGACAAGGGGACGCCATGTTCGAACACAGACCAATGAATGTACCAAGGCTTCCTGTATATGCAGACAACCCCAGCTAGCCTGAGCGACGCCATCATGAGAACCGTGTCTATCCAAACATCATCCAAGGAACCATGTCTACCCGGTCCCGATCATAAACAATAAACACCAAGACGCCGCGCCATGGGCAAAGATTGCCAGAGAAACAGAAAAAAGGGGGGGGGGGTGGCGCGGGACTCATCAAGATCCCGGCCCAGACTGCGGAACCTCCTTGCCGGCGTTTCCGCCCTCCTGCTCCTCCTCCTCCTTCTGCTTGAGCTTGTCCTCGGCCTCCTTCTCGGCGGCCTGCTTCTTCTCCTCCTCGGGGTCCTTCTTGCCCTCGACCGGGAGCTCGACGTCCTTGACGGGGTGGATGAGCATGGGCGGGAGGCACATGCGTCCCTCGCCGCCGCGCAGGTGGCCGACCGTCTTGCCGTCCTTGGTGGCGTCCTCGACGAGCTCGAACTCCTCGCCGCCGTCATTGTTGACCTTGAGGCCGAGCCAGCGGCGGTAGAGGTTAGGGCCGAAGCCCGAGTTGTAGAACCACGTGAGGCCGCGCATGTTGTGCTCGCGTTGACCAAAGACGGACATGCGGCTGCCGCCGCTGGCGCCGTTCTTGCCGGCGTTGAGGACGGCGCCAAAGTACTCAATGGGCCACTCGCGGTCGACGAACTGCGGGTGCGGGGCGAAGACGGCCTTGTAGCCGTGGTGGAAGGCGGCCGTCGCAGGCCACATTTCGGGGAACGCAAAGTGCTTCTTGTGGGCCGTCTCGCGGTGCATGGTCATGAGGAGGCGGCGGGAAAGGCGTGAGGCCGTGACGATGTGG